CAACTTTGTCAGATCGAGGTTGTTCGGTGATTTTTGAGCAAGGGGCTATTTGTGCATTTTTTCGCGGGCGCAGGAGGCAATGTCGTTCTGCAGCAAGGAGGATGATGCCCAGATTGCAAGGAGTAAGACTCTTCAAGAGCATGGCATACTATTATGGGGCGCCTTAAGAATTAGAAAAGGGTTTTGGGGTCCATTATACTATAATTATAATAAGGAACCCCCAAAATAGTATTGGTAATTACTTGGGCCATTATATTAGTAGCCCGTCGGCAAAGTCCTTTACTTTGCTCTGCAGCATGAGCACTTTTTTTGGGCGAAGAATCTCAGGGTTTAGCTGCTACCATAAAATCCTGAGCAAGGGACCATGTTAAACAGAATAGATTCAGTACTGTGGATCTTTTGTTGGTTGTCAAAAGGCAGGCAGATCTGTAGCTGTTTGGTCACTAGGACCAGGAGCATCGGCATACCGAGGATCTTCGCAGATCGTGCTCAAAGACCGCACCTTGCTGCAAGACATTGACACTGCATGCCCGCGCTGCAGCATTTCACGTTCTTGTGGTCGTCAAGGTACTTGTTGTCGCTGTTGCTGCTACCGTTTCTGTTGCTGTTACGGCTATTGTTGCTGTTGCCATTGCTGTGCCATTACAGTCTCTGTTATCCTTACTGCTGCCACTGCCACCACGACGACGACTCACCACTACCGCTCCCACCACGACGACGATGACTGCTAGTGCTACTGCGACGACTCCTCCAAGCGCTTCGTAGACAAGCACGCAACCTTTACAGAAACCCGTACCCGTTTCAGTGACCCTACCGCACGGTCTGCAGTGACTTTGCCGCCCTGGACCGCTCCCCTAGACGTTGCGAGGTCTCCTTCGAGGACTTCTCCATCGCCCCGCTTACGGAAATCGTGAGCATGTGAGCTGGAGTTTATGGGCCCTTGTGGGATTTTGGGGATGAAGATGAGCATCAGCCCCCGAAAGCTTCAAAGCAGCCCTCAACGACCCCAAGCCCTGAACTCCTCCTTTAAGGACTTGTAGGTGCTCGGGAGCTCCCAAAGGTTGGGCTCCTCTTTTCATGGAGCCCAGGAGTTCTCCCGAGCTGTAGGAAAAAGGAAAACCATTTGAATCTGGTTGGGGCCCTCTTTGGAAGGTCTCAGCTGTTTGAGGAAGGTCGAGGAAGTGTGGAGGCCGAAACCCCTTAGGGTTTAGGGTTTAGGGCTGAGTGGTTTAGGGTTTAGGGTTTAGGGCTGAGTTCAAAGCTTCAGGAGGGACTCAGAGGGTTTAGGGCTTCGTGCCACAAAACTTCCTCGGAGGTCAGATGCACTACACAGCAAAGCTTGACATTTTTGGCTGCTCCTAGGGATCTGACGGCGGTGAGAAGCCGGGTCTCTGAGGCTCTGATTCTTCGCATCATCACCATCAGCAGCAGAGGGTTTAGGTTTAGTCCTAATTGCCACTGCCCAACGCGCGAAGATCCTTTGCTCAAGTCCAGTTGGTAGGGCTCGGGGGCAGTTTTTGTTTTTTTCAGTGCGTTCTTCCGAGAATTCCTGACAGACGACAGGCTAACAGTCACAATCGATGTTCGTTCCTCGCACGGAAACCCTGAACCCTTAAACCCCAAATCCCGAACCCGATCGTGCCGGTGAAGTATCCCGGTTCTTCTGCAAGGCGGGGGGTTTCGTGGATTAGGATTAGAATGGTCAAGACAAGAGGGAACTTGTCCTTCTGAAGACTCGAGCCCGCCTTCTCCCACGATCTTGTACAGACCTTGTGAGGCATTAGAGAATGCTTCTTAAGCTTAGAGAGATCTGTGTTAGGGTCCCTCGCACTTTTCGGCTCGCCACGCCGGGCTACAAGAGCTTCCCTCTGAGAACAGAGTGGTGAGGGAGTGCCTGCACATCGCAGAAATCGCGACACCCGCTGTCAGCTGAGGATTAGATCCATCCGACTGTGCCTTGGGGGTTGGGGCTCAGGGAGATGTTGTTGCTGCTCGGAAATCCAGCACCCTCCTCTACACCGCAGATGGGGAACCCAAGATCCCCTGTCCAGCTTAATCCGGCTTCTGGTCAAAAGGTGTTTTTAGACTATCCCCGTTCAAGACGTGGGCGAAGTTGTGCTTCGCCTCTTGGGGACACAGGCCAAACAAGCACGGCTGTACGCCGGGTTGATCTGACCGCGGCCTCAAAGCGTGAGCATCTTGTGCAGCAGCCTTCGGCTTGAGGACTGTGGGGAAGTAGCTCGTGGCTTGCACTCCAACGTAGACCAACCTGACCTGGTGAAATGCCAACAGTCACATACAGGCACATGATCGGGCAAGGGCGCGTTCAAACTCTTCATCCACTCAGACCTGACTTGTCCTCCGCAAGGTGTAACGAGCGAGGCAAACGATGATTTGTCGTGCCCTTGACAATCCGGACTCTGGAAGGATTATGGAACATGCCTTCCCACTGGTAGCGCGCCGAGGCTTGTGGCTCTCATTGATGTTTCCTGGCATCCAAGCGTGTGATGCGTCGGCGCCTGAGTGTGTAAAATTGTCATCGTGTGGCTCAGGGATGCTGGAGGTGAATGGCTCTGTTAGGCGCAGCTATGGCATTTAGGGCTTAAGGGCTGTGACCTGGGAACGGTCTACGGTGATATGTTCTGAACCTGCTCTTCCGATCAGATGAAGGGTAACCGCTGCCGAACTCCCATGCCTCGGCGAAGTTCAAGCCATTGCGTGTTCTCTCAGTCTTGAATTAAAGCGGAAGTAGGTACTGTCAGCGTTGACCTGATAGGAAGGCGTAGTGTGGTTTGCAGGTCCATGCTACGAATGACAAGCCTCTTCATGTGCCCCATCAGCTGATATGAGGAGATGTTACTGCTAACATTTGTGGCCAAGTCTGACTTTTGAAGAAGCCTCCTGGATTTCTGGTCCAGAACATGGTGTGAACGATTTGCAACAGTTGCTCTACAGTTGTACCCTAAACCCTGAACCCAAAGGGTCCCCAACCTCAAATCCCAAAGCCCAAACAAACCCTTGTACACGCGAGGTACCGTTGCCGCCGTGGCCTTGCTTCCGCCGAGTCCGCCTAGGCCACCTAATCTTCGGTGCCTCAGAAGGAGGCTTAGCCTTTGGAGGTTTCTCAGTCTAGGCGCCCTACTAGCAAGGTTGCCTTCCGTGTAGTATAGTTTAGGGTTCAGGGTTCAGGGTTTAGGGTTTAAGGGTTTAAGGGTTCACTCCACGGTTCAATGAGCGTGCTTTATGGGGGGGGTATCGAGGCGCGGAGTTGGATCCGGCCCCGGGTCTCATAAGTCAAGGAACGGCAACGGTTACGTATCCTGTGGACTCTATACTCTCTTAAAAGGGACCTTATTGAGGGGGTCTATATCCCCAAGGGTCCCTCTAATCCTAGCTCCCACCGTAGACACCGAAGTGAATCGACCTGATGCGTGTGGGTTAGGCTTGAGGGTGGGGAATTCATGCGTGACCCTGCTGTATTCAGAGGGGCATTCGAATGCTTTGCTTTCCCGCCGGAGTTTTGATGCAGTTCAGGTTTGTGGAAGCGAATCGGTAGAATGTGGTGGAATTGCTTGGCGAACCGCATCCGTCTTGCACTGGTCGAGTTGAGAGCGCGGGCCATGCCAACAATTCCGAAGCAGAGTCGACTTGAGTTTTTTGCAGTCTTTTCAAGCAGGCAGGTCTGGTCCGAACGTATGCTCCGGGCTGACAACCTAAATTTTAAAGTAGCTGTGCTATACCATACCATACCATACTCTACTATGCTACACTGTACCTTGCATTGTTGAGGGCTGAGCGTGTGGCCATCCTTTGCACCCACACTCAATGGCGCACTCTCTCCCCCCCGCTCACTCGCGCGATCCTCACACGCCGAACTCACGCTTTGATTCCATCCTTGATGTCCTCCTCGGTTTTGGCTCATTTTGGCACACTCGCTCTACTCACCTATGAAGACTCCGCACTTGTTCGCTCAAGCGCTCCACTCGCCTCTTAACTCTCTTACTCACCCGCCAACTAAGTGCAAGCACTCATGGTGAACGGTGTATATGTGTGTATATATATATATATATATACACACACGCACCCTTTTCTACATACAGAGAATATGTGCAAAAAGTGTACAGCGTATGTATAACATATATACATACGTACATACATACCTACATACATACATACATACCTACATACCTACATACATACCTACATACATACATACATACATACATACATACATACATACATACATACATATAGAGAGAGAGAGAGGGATGTATGCATGCATGTGTGTATGAACACTGTCACTCTCGTGTCAAGGCTAGCGGCCAGGCCTCCGGGATGAGGCGGAGATCAAATAGGGTTTCAGGCTTTAGGGTATAGGTTTAGGGTTTAGGCTTTAGATCTCCTGCAGGGCATGGCTTGGAGTGTACCCCACCCGAGGCCCCAAGGCCCCTAAGATCCTAGGCCCCAAACTCCGAACCCTAAGCCCAAAACGTCTAAACCCAAAACCCCCAAAATCCCAGACCCCCAAAAGCCTAAACCCCAAACTCCAAGCCCTAAGCCGGGGATCGTGACCAAGAGCTCGGAGACTTCAACGACCGAGACGGGACTTCTGAGAAGCATTGCCAGTTGGATCCCCCAGTGAAGAAGTAGAGGTCGTAATATTTATAGCCATAGTAGTAGTAAGAATGGCCAGAGAGGGTTATAGAGGGTTTTACTAAACAAAAGCCTCTTTGAAGCATTGTACTCTTGTCGTTTCTTTTTGTTAGTATTTTGTTACAAGACACCACCGAAGCCTCATATTCATCATGAAGACCATGAAGGGAGTGTTGAGCGGCGATCCGGTTCAAGGTGTGCGGTAGAATGTGTTGGAAATCCAGGTCACAGCCTGCGTGCAGCATCATACAGTTTGTCAGGGCATGGCAGGTGCAGACATGGATAATGGATCGGAAGTTGACACCTTGAACAGAGCCTGAGCGCCACCCATGGATCCTTGATACGTGATGATCCGTTTCTTCTGCAAATGGAAGTTGGTTGCTTGCTCTTTAGCAGTCTTGCTGCTACTGCTCCATTGTGTTATGCTGTATCGTCTCGTTCCCAGAACACAAGTCGAGCTGATCGCACATGCCGGAAGTCATGGCGGAGCAGTTTGCAAGGCTCTCCAAAGCATGTGCAGACAAAGCTGCAAGCAGTGGATCGGATGTCCACAGGTCTCTTGTTTGGTGGACAAAAGCAGCAGGTCTCTCCGTCACAAGACAGAGGCTGCGCAATCTGGCTTGTCTATCCTGCTGTTGCGTGACCCACGTGATGTGGTCGTGTCCTGGCGACACGGGACAGAATCCAGCAAGTCTCAGAGTGCTGTCCAGCACATTCGGTCCGTCGCTAGTTGGACAAGGTGGCAGCATGAACAACATTCAGGACGGACTGAGTCCTTCTTGCTTTTCTACGAGGCCTTAGCTTCGCAGCCTCGTGAGACTCTTGAGGCACTGGCGAAGTTTCTGCAGCTGGAGGTGTCTTTCACGGATGAGCAGCTCCTGGGGGCTTGGCAGGGCGTCACAAAGCCTGAGGAGGTGTGTCAGGTCTCCGCGCACCCGCCTTGGATTGCCCGTTATGTCAGCTCCGTCGTTCAGGAGGAGCTTCCAGAAGATCTTTGGGGCCTTTGGGCGGCAAGATGCCCCGGCAACGTGTCTTGGGCACCGGAGCCATGTCCGAGAGGAGCAGAGCTGGAGGCCCACAACGAGTCAAAGCATGGGGACATCTGCCGATGGAGATCGAGGGATTACATGTGTCCGAACATGTGCCGACAGTTGGCGGAGGCCCCCTACTGCGCCGACTGCGGCGGGGGGGAGGGAGCCATGGAGCCCTGTCGAGCTGCAGCAGCTCAGGAGGCCTGGCAAGAGACGCTGGTTCCAAATCCGCACACGCCCCGAATAATGAGCACCTTCTACGAGGCAAGTTCCAAGAAGGACGGCCGGGAGGATGCGAGACAGCTGACACTGGCGACTTGGGCTCAGCATTGGCAGCGGGCTGGCTGGCGGACGAGGGTTCTCGGCCTGGCAGATGCCCAGAAGTCTCCTTTCTACAAGCAGCTGCTTGTGAAGTTCGCGCAGATCCCACTTGGAGAGAATCCCGAGTATGAGAAGGCCTGCTATCTCCGATACCTCGCCATGTCCGAAGCTGGCGGTGGCTGGATGAGCGACTACGACACCTTGCCCTTGCATTTTCCAGGAACTAGTGATTTGGTTTCAAACGGTCGCTTCACGGTGCTGCAGGGGCATATACCCGCACTCATGTCCGGCAGCCAAGAGGAGTGGCGCCGGATGTCCCGTCTGCTCGTTGACAGCGCCGTGATGCTGACGCGGCAAAGCCCCATGCCCACACTGGTTTCTGACATGCATGCGATGGCAGGACTGGTGGACAAGTCCGGGCTCAAAAACAAGTCTGAAGATGCCTTGAGCTCCTTCCACATGGTGGCAGATGCAAAAGACTACGTGCGTACCTTGAGGAACCCAACGTCCAGCTTGATCTGTCGTCGCTTCACCTTCTTCCGCCTGGCCATCCACATCTCCCACGCATCCCTGGCAGCAGGGCTTGCCTTGCCGGATGCCGACGTTGAGACGAAGCGTCCCCAAATCATGAACCAAACCATGGAGCGTTTCTGGCAGTGTGTGGAGATGGAGAGTCCTTAAAGGATTCTGTGGATCCGAGCTGCAGAGGCCCCCAGAAGGCCCCCTATAAGCATCGACTCTGCTTGAGGAGGGGGGAAGCTCCAGAGGACTTCGCCGAATTCCGGTCTCCCGACTTCAGCCTTTCCTCCGTAGAGCAGGTCGTGGGATTGTCGTCGGACATATGCCTTGGGATTGAAAGGGGGCTGGCTAGGTCGTCGTGTCTCTTGAAGTGAGATAAAAGCTTCGGAGCTGTGTAGTATTGCAAGACACGTCTCCATGCACAAAGACTGCGTGCGAGCCGAGTAGCCTTGCTAAGGGGTTGATGCATGGAGTGGGCATGTCAGTAGGTGAATGCACGCAGCATTCAGGAAGTGTCCTCCTATCGCTCCTCCCGCCGGCCCTGCCTGAACCTGCCAGCCTTTCCCATCCCAATCCCAATTCCACAGTGCCCCCCCCCGTCGCCGGCCGGCGAACTCATGCAGCCGATATCATGTAGCAGTTTCTTAGGGGCGCCAGAAGGGGCCCCCAAAAGTTGGGGGGGGATCTGAGATGGATGCCCAGAGTTACCGGGACAACTGCCTCATCGTCTTGGGCAGCGGCCTCGAAGCCGAGGAGTTGCTGCTAAGGCGGCGCCTGGGCGCCGGGGGCCGCGCGGTGCACATTCTGACCGAGGGACCCTCTGATGCCCGGGTGGAGATCTCCCGAAATCGGATGCTGGAGGGCTGCTTCTGGGCCCAACCTTAGGGAACTTACGAATAAGAGAAGAGGAAGCATGTTTTTGTTGAACGATTGGCACCTTAAAAGCTTTCCGCAACTAAGATCTCAGAACTCCGAACACACACACACACACACACCTATTAATTGTTCTGTTTTCTCAGAAGTAGGACATCGTATGATATCATCCTCCAGGACGTCTCCCAAAGAGTCGGGAACCCGAGGCTTCTTCTGGCACCCGCCCACCTGGGGCCCCGTCACGGACTTCGGGAGGCGTTTCGGGCCCTCGGAGCACCGCTACTGGAGCCACACGGGCCTCATGGCCGTGGCACTGCGAAGCGACTCTGGGCCTCTCTTGGGTGATAAACCTGATAAACATACCCACAATTTTTCTACACATATATATATATATATATATATGCAGTTTATATATATATATATATATATATATGTATATGCGGTTTATTTGGTCGTCCTAAGATACAGTACTGTAATGTTTTTAAGCAATAGAAGTATCTACTTCCCGTTGTCCCCGAACCTTGATTTCCTAAACCCTGAAACCCTCTTATTGGCTTACGTCATAACCCTAAACCCTAAACCCTGAAGAAGGCCCAGCCTAGGATCAGAAGGCGCAAATCTACGTCTCCTCGGAGGTCTCCGAGGAGATGAGCCACTTGAGGATCCTGGATTCCGAGGGCAGCGTCGAAGCCGAGCTGTCTGGCGAGATCGTGGTGAATCCCGGGATGGAGGTTGCAAGAGAGCTGCTGGGTTCTTGCTAAAAAGGTCTAGTTTGAGCTGCCATAATAAAAAATAGTGTATCTGCTGTAGATCCCTATTAAAAAGTGAGTGAGCTTAGAAATTCATGAACAAGAGCTCAGGCTGGAGGTGGAGGTGGTGAATCCAGAGCTAAAACCTGCAGGGACCTTCTCCTGGCGCTTCACGCTGCTCGCTGGCCTATTCCTGCTTCCCTGGCATAGTGCGAAGTGGCTCGCTTCTGCAAGATGCGAGCTGAGTGCGTTGGGGGGGCTGCCATGGTGGCGAGGGCTTCTGGCAGTTGGTTATCTTTTTCCTGCCCTTCCTGGCCTCGTGCAAAGCTTCACGCTGAGTTTGGCAGGCGAGATGCCTTCGCACCTCACCTGCATGTAAGCTTTGGCTTGCTTCATGCGGACAGCTGGGGGTTTAGCACTCTGAAGTGTAGGGATCGGGACTCTTCCCAGGCAGATGTCTGGATTCCTTCAGTTGTAGGAGGACTTCAGTGACTGATGCCCTCAGGCTATTCACCCATGCCATGAGCAGCTTGGCACTTGTCGCAATGATTCTGATAGGCTTGCTGCAGCTGGCAGACCTACCCAACGTCATGATAGCAGCCGTCACCGTCTTCGTCATGGGGCCGATGCTTCAGTACTACCGTGGCCGAGCCAGACATGTTCACCGAAGATTCTGGTCTTGCCTGCAGTGGGGGCTTGCACAACTTCTGGGAACTCTCGGAACTGCAGTCGTCATGACCGCCATAGTCCTTGTCTACATCTTCCTGATCTCACAGGGCCAGCTCCTTATTGCCAACATGTGCCTACCGGTGGCAACCTCCCTGACAGAGATGGGCATGGTGATGTGTACTGCTCGGATGTATACTGGCCTTGTCTTCACGAAACGGCCGGAAGTGTCTGGCGACTTGTCCTACATTCCCATGCCCGCCACTGGGCCCTGGTTAAGGAACCTGGGTTACGTTTCGCTGGCAGGGATGTGCAGGGATGTACACAGTAAATGATCTGCGGTTCTTACTGTGGTAGCTCACTCAAGTTCTCGCACTGCCCCAGAAGCCCCTTCACGAACAATGGTGAAAAGCCTAAACAAGCCCTATCAGACCTTACGCTCCTTACCAGGATCCCAGACCCAGGCCATAAAAAAGCCCCAAGCCCTACACCTAAGCCTTCAACGCCTAACCCTTAACGCGAAACCCTAAGCCGTAAACCCGAGACCCTAAACCCTAAACCCTAAACCCGAAACCCTGAACCGCCTGAACCCGAGACCCTAAACCCGTGAGCAGGCCATGATCATGACCGCCCACGCCTTCGCCGAGTCCGTGCGTCTGGTGTCGCTGTGGGCCGGCGCGGTGAGATCCGGTAGTTTCAGCCGCTGGGCTCTCTCCTTAGCTCCTTAATTATGGGTTTAGGGTTTCGGGTTTAGGGTTTAGGGACGCTGGAGTTTAAATGGGTTCTTGAAGGGCTCTTGTTGAGGACAGGAGAAGTATTTCCATCAGAAACGTTTTGGGGCTTTGAGTCTCTACGCTTTATCAGGATTTTCAGGAACTGACAAAGCAATAAGTTTTGGGTTTAGGCTTTCCTTGCTGCAAGGGCACCACAGCGTTTGCGGCTTTTTCAGTCTATTCCCCGCTGAAGCTCCCAAAGCCAAAATCCCCAAGACCCAAAAGCCCCAAGACCCTAAACCCCAAAACCTCTTAACCCCAAAACCCTGTTTAAAAACTCTAAATTCAACACCCCCGGGAAACCTTGAACCCCAAAATCCCAAAACCTCTTAACCCCAACCCTACACCCTAAACCCTGAACCCTAAGCCCTACAACCCCACCCCAAGGCTGGGTCGGGGCTGCCGTGTGGAGTCTTCTGCTCAACGTCCTGAACCGCCTGGGCTGGATCCGCTACGGAACTTTTCGGATCCTGAAGCCACTGTTCCTGGGCTCTTGAGTCGGGTTTGGGGTGTCGGGTTTGAGGGTCTAGGGGTTTAGGGCTGTTCCTGGGTTCTCCTTGAGGAAGCTTGATTCTGTAGCATGCCGACCAGTCACTTCCTCAAAGCCCTGATCAAGCCCACAACAGACCCCCCGTCCGAGGAAATCCCAAAAACCCTGCAAACTCTTCTCCTCTTCAACAAGAATCCCTAAACCCTCAACCCTCGACTTCGAAACCCTGAATCTCTAAACCCTACTCCCTAAACCCTAAGCCCTGGACCCCAGACCCTAAAGCCTAAACCCTAAAGCCTAAACCCTAATCCCTAAACCCTAAACCCTAAACCAAACAGGTTGGGCACCGAGTTGAGCCTTGGACTCTTCGCGCCCACCAGCTGGTCGAAGCTGCACGACGAGCTGAAGATCTACGGGGGCTCCTGGACTGTTGAGAAGCTCGTCTACCCCTAGCTTGTGGCACTGTAGATGATGATCCTGAATACAACTGAGGGATGTACAGCTTTATATTTACATATATGTATATGCACAGAAAATGTATATATTTATGTATAAGTCTATATATTTATCTATGCATGTATGTATGTATGTATGTATGTATGTATGTATGTATGTATGTACACATACACACATACACAGACTGTCGTCACAGCTCAGGCTACTTCCGATTCATCGTTCCCCTCGCCCTGATCGCTGCTCGAGCCCTGCTCTTCCAAGATCTCAGGGTGACGGGGCCCAAGGCCCCGGCCTTCAACCTCTCCGGCGCCTGCGCCATCCCTAGCTTGCTGCTTCTGGAGCTCTTGGAAGATCGAGTGGTGCTCCACGAGCCTGGGTGTTCAGTTCAGCCCTGAGAAGGAAGCCCTACTCGTGGCTAGAGACTCCTAAGAAAAATTACACTCCTTAAGAAGACTCCTGTGAATGTGGGTCTCATTGAATGACGCTCATGCACCGAGGAGCTGCTTCCTATGGGCCCGATCCCTGCAGAAGTCTTGGAGACGAAGGTGCAGCCCTACAACAGCCTTGGGACTCCCGGGTATATTCCTTCATTAAGGGGTAATTGGGTTCTCTGGGACGAAGGTGCAGCCCTACAACAGCGACCCTGGGGCCCTCATCAGCGTTGAGATTCGGCCCAGCCGCCCTAGGATGACACCCACGGCCCAGGCTCAGGCTGCCATGGGACACAAAGTAGTGCTTACTATTTTGGTTGCAACTTGTTAAGACAAAAACTCCTCGAAAGCCGTAGAACGTGTTGCGACATATATCTGCCCTGCAGCCATGTAAGGAGCATCCTATCCAACCGTAGCTCACTCCCGGTCTCTCAAGACCCTTCTAAAATCCAAGACAGTCCTTGTCAGTAACCCGAGCAGGACGCCTGGCGCATGAAGGAGCTGGATTCCAAGGGGACGCGCCGGATCTCCACCGTTCAATCGGTGGTCCCACAACAGCCTCCGGAGACTGGTTTCATTTGGGTTTAGGGCTTAGGGGTCTAGGGTTTAGGGCTAAGGAAGTTCTTGTCAGCTACCATCGTACGACTGTCTGGTTAATATCTGCTCACTGGATCGTCCCGATGATGTTAACCCCTCAAAAAATCAAGCTCTAAACCCGCATCCCGTCATCTAAAGACGAAGCCCTGAACCTTATGATGCTAGCTTCAAGAGCCCCAAAAAACTTATTAACACCAAACCGCTAAAGCCCGAAGCTGTGATGGCATAAGCCCTAAAACCCTAAACCCCAAAACCTAAACCCTAAACCCTAAACCATGGCTTCAAGAGCCCAGGAGCTCGTCGACCACCGCCGGTCGCTGGGGACGCGCCGATTTACCTTCCGGTCCCAGCTGCGGAGACGCTTGGGCCAGGAGAGGGAGGATTCCTGGTCATATTCAGAAGTGTTTCTTGTGAAACCCTAAAACCCTTAACCTTAAACCCTATACTGTTGTTGCTATTGATATTGTTATTGTTCTTATTGTCACTACTGCTTTTCTTGTTACTACGACGACGGCTACTACTTCTACTTTTGTCGTTTGTTTTGTGGTCTATCAAGGGTTTTGCAGGGCTTGGCTTGGTTGGCAGAGTGGTTTTGTGGATCTTGTCTTTAGGGTATCGAGATTTAGGGTTTTGGGTTTGGGGTTTATGGTTCTGTTTTTGGGGGTTAGGGCCCTAAGCCCCGAACCCTAAACCTTAAACCCTAAACCCTGAAACCTCAACCCTGAACCCTGAACCCTAAACCCTACAGGGTCTGCGTCTGCGCTTCGAGACTTCATGAGGTCATCCCGGCTCTGCTGCTGCAGGGCTTGAGGGAGATGCCCTTTAAGGCGTGGGGGTGTTCAAAGCCCCAGCCTAGGCCTAAACCTGAAACCCTAAACCCTAAACCTTAAACCCTGAAACCCTAAACCCCAAACCCTAAACCCCAAACCCTAACCCCTGAACCCTAAACACTACACCCTGATACCGATCCCGAAGCCGGAAGCTCCAAAAAAACCTACGCACCCCAAAGGTTCTAAAGCCGAAACTCCCCAAGTCCTAGACCCGGGCTTTAGGGTTTAGGGTTTGCAAGTGAA